CCCGGCGGGCCGCCGGGATGCGGCCGCCGGGGAAGGTGGCGGCCGTGACGGCGCCGAGGCTGGAGGGCCGCCATAAGCCCATCTACCACGCGCTGAGTGAGTGCTGCCCGCCCGGGGGGACGCGGCCCCAGAAAGCAGTGCCACAGGCACCGGGAAGCGCCAGAGCGAGGTTAACCCGGGATAGCGACCGTGACAAGCTGCCCCTTTCGGGTGGCTGCCCTGCGAGAGAACAGAGTACCTGGGAATGTGTGGTTCCTGTATTCAGCGCGTTATTTCAGATTAACCAGGAGTATTTTAGTGTCTATGGGAAAACAGTTCCTTAGATGAAACAGCGCAGTTTTGGTTTTGTTATTGTTTTGATTTTTTTTGTGTGTGTTAATTAGGTACAAGAACATAATTATGCTACAAAACCACTAATTCGCTTGCTGCTTGGAAGAGTATAGGGGACTAAATGGGTGCCCCTTCTCTATGGGTAGGGAAGGAAATAAATTCGATCTCGCATATATTTAACTTCTATTCTAAAGGTAGTCTTCTGTCATTCCCTGAAGTATCACAATTTTATATGCTTTTTGAACCATATGTCTCGAAATAAATTCGATCTCGCATATATTTACCTTCTATTCTAAAGGTAGTCTTCCGTCATTCCCTGAAGTATCACCATTTTAGGTGCGCTTGAACCATATGTCTCAAATAACGGGATACAAGTTGCAGCATTTGGACCTGGACTTTCCAATGTCATCTTCATGTCTCCTTTTCTCCACCCTTTTCTTCTTTCAGCAGCTTGACAATACAGCATCAAAAATAGTGGTTGAGTGAGCCAGATTTTCCAAAATATGGACATGCTTTTTTATATATATTGGGTTGTCAGTAAGCACAGGTGAACCTGTTAAGCAGTGTTTGCTGCTGAAGTGGATAATCTCTGCATCCCTGAGGAGTGGAAGGGCTGGATGAAGTGTTCTGCAAGCCCCATCTGGCACCGGCGTTACTTTAGTTTGCCATGTTGTGCACCAGATGAAAAATCAAGATTTGTCTTAAAATTAGAAGTTTGGCATGTAGATTGTCAGTCTCATGAGCTAACATTTGGCTGTATGATGCCCACCTTCTGTCAGAATTCAGATTTCTTGATTAAAATGTGTGTACCTGCATCATGTGTTTTTTGCTCTGAGATAAAAATTACTTAAAATTTCTTCACTCTGTAAACTATTTTTTGATATAGTATGGAATTACTGTGTTGGCTTACACAGTATTTCACCTGAAGAGGTACAAAACATATGCTCTATATAGCAGATAGTATATAGCATAAAATGTACTGACTTATTTTTGTGTATTTCTTGAGAAAGTGTACTTTTAAAGAGAATAATTCAATATTATGTCATGAAAAAGTTTTGTTGCATGATTTTTTGAATGTTTTTCAAAAATAGGATGCACTTTCACTCTGTTTTACATGCAGTAATTTTTTTTAAGCCTTGTGCCACCATTCCTGAAGTGGTGGGAGCAACACTGTTCTATGAAACAAGTGGAAGATAATGTATTAACTTGAAATTTCAGAAGAGACCTTAGTTATAGAGAAACCTGATCTCTCTAAAGAGAACAAGTTCCATTCGCTATTCATGTAGAGTGTACGTATCCCTATTAATTTTTCTCTTGGTTCTTTATTGAGAGATTTAATTTATTAATCTCTCAATTAAATAAACTGAATTGAATTTATTATTTACATGCACAAAGTCTAATCAGATCTCAGCTTCCTATCAAACTCATTTATACACAAACTTATTTTTAGAAGTGATCTGCCAGTGGTGAATAGCTCATCACAAAAATCAAATTGAAGCCATGCTCCTGTGCTTGGGCTGTAAAGGAGCGCAGTGTTATGAAAGAGTAGAAAACTTAATGTGAACCTTGCACTGGTGAATTATAGGATTTTATTAAAAAAAAGCCTAGCCTTGTCTAGTTTTAAGGGAATTTTGGTGTAGCTGGTTTGTTTGCCAGTTACTCAAAACTGCTTTCATCAGTGAAGTCTCTTCAAATACTTAAATAGATTTTAATATAGTATGGCATGTGGGAATGAACTTTGGACGAATCTACTTGTTTGATTGAATGAGTGATACAAAAGATCAAGACTACTACTTTTGAAATGAAAATCTACATCCCTTACTCAAAGATATTTTTCAGGTAGTGAAATTTGTATTTTTTATTAGTAAAGAAGGTTTTTGAAGTAACTACTATTGGCAACACATACATACTGTTAGAATGTATATTGTGCCTATTGATATGGAAATTGTTGATGTAACAGGAAGAACGTTGAACATATATGTATCTGTTCCTATATTCACTGTTGCCTGACTCTGGTAGGTACCAATGTTTTTGATTAACAGTTGGGGATGTATTTTCTTTATATTTAGATCTAGGATGTGTTTATTTCATAGAATCATTATTTAGTAGAATTATTTTACATATTGAAAATATTCGGTCTTCTGGTAAATGTTATTATTGTTTTACAGAAAAGCCAAAATTAAACAACATTAAATATGCATAGAATTGACCTTTACTTTTTTGTACTGAATTTTTATAATATAAGTGCATATGCAACATAGTGTGTTGAATAAAATAGTATACTTGCCTGTAAGGTAGGCTTACAGATCTTACATAGATGATTGCGATGGTTTAATTATTTAGTCTGATGATTATTTTACCTGCTTCACCTTTCTTCAGACTTGGGAGTCCTGAGAAAAACGGTAATGCAGTTGGTATTTAAGTATAACTTCAGATGGAGTGACAAGGAAGGCTCAATCTTTCCAATTGAGCTTTATGAAATGTGTATATTTGTGCTATTATTTATGTTTTGTGCATTTTGCAGCTGTTACTTCTGTTGCTCACTCCTGTGGTCCTCTTAATATTCTCCATTAATTTCTGTCTTGTAGGTGACTGCGGAGATCATGTGGTCATAATAAATACAAGACATATTGCCTTTTCTGGTAACAAATGGGAACAGAAAGTGTACTCCTCACATACTGGGTAAGTGTAAAAGCACTTTTTAAGGAACATTCCAATGAGTTAGCTCTAAAATTCATCTGCGTCCTGAATAGCTAATGTATTTTGTAGTATGTGCCAAAAATCCGAAAGGAAGAGCTGTTTATATGTTTTGTGCCTGCGTGCATGAAGATGTTCAGAAAGGATGCAAACCTTTTTTTGCAGTGTATATTGTTCAGGGAATAATCAGGTTTACAAGAAGTCAGAGCAGTAGAGTGATTTAACAAATTTAGTGAGACAGGTTATTTTGTGTGGAGATGAGCATGAAGATCAGGACTATCTGATTTACAAAGCAATAAAGAACATTCCTCTCCTCACTGCACATTTAAGATATATACAGATACCAGCTTTGATTATGATACCATAGCTAACATTGAGAATCAAAACTGATGTATTCTTGAATAAGAGGCCAGAAAAATAAAACCAACATGTGCTCAGTTTTGATAGAGCTGGTGCTCAAAGATTTTAATTTCTCCTATAATTAGTAAGAAATTAGATGCTTTCAAGACATATGGTTGTACATAATATTGCTACAATATTTTGTAATACAATATTCTGACAGATAAAACTTGATTATAGCTGGAATTAGAATATTCAGTTACAGACAATATTCCAGTGATCAGTTAAGTAAAAATGGTTGCTTTTATTTCATACAGCGATAACACCAGATAATTCATCTTCAAGTGTTAAAATGTGTGCAGTTGGGAGATGAATAAGTATTGTTGAGAGCTAATTTTGCTAGTACTGATGTTTCAGTCCTGAAGCTTTTGTAAAATTACTGAAAAGGTCTTGTTCAAAGTTAATGAAAATTAACGGATATTCCTTCCTTCCTTATCCCTGTGACTGCTTGAAACTTTTGTATAAGTATTTGTAAAAAATATATATATATATATATATAGCTAGATTGTACAATTCCTTCTACTCATTCAAAACCAGCTAAAATAAATATGTAAATCTGTGTAGCTCCTTATGTGGAGATGTTTTAACAGATGTTGGGCTTATTTGTGTTCACATAGGTTGGTTTCTAATAATGTAATTAAAGTGAAAATTAAACCCAGCTTTACCTGCCATCTTGTGTAATCTCTTGCACAACCATATCATTTAAAGTATATATTTAAATGTGAATTAGTACAGCTTTATCAAGTCACAAAACCTACCCTCTGCTATACTTTTATTTACATGAAGTCGTGTTTTATTACTGTAGATATACCAAATCATTATAAGGCATGGATAAAGTAGTAATAAAATAATAAGTTGTGTTCAAAATGGTTTTCTCATGCACATCTGCCCCAGTCTGATTGTAACCTGATCTCCTTGAATACTTTGAAGTTTCACCTGTCTTACTCTCATTGTATTCCGTAGTTGGACTGGTGTATTTAACAAGACATCTGTCTGCCTGTGAAATAGTAATTCTTCAGTCTTGAAGTAAATGCATAAAAACTACAAATAGTGATAGTAAATTGCTCCAAATTTAGACAGTTGAAGAGAACAGACTGCTTGTACTATAAAGTAGCATTGGCCTCATGAAAACTTCCTCTTTGGAGGGCTTATAATAATGCACATAATAAGGCTGCTTTTTAAGATACAGTGATATTTGTATTAGCATCATGCTTGAGCATATAATATTAATTCTGTGTGTGTTTGTTTTCCTAGATATCCTGGTGGTTTCAAACAAGTCACAGCAGCTCAGCTCCATATGAAAGATCCAACTGCTGTAAGTTTTCTTCTTCCCTCTCATTTGTACAATTTAGTTTGTTTTCATTTAGTTAATTCCTCTAAACAGAAGGGATCCAATTACTGGGATGTCTAAAACTAATTTAGAAATGTTCTACCAACAGCTGTTTTGGCTTGTGATAGTGTATTTGCGAGCAGTGCATTTTGAAGTTAGATTGTAGCTTGTGCATTTTCTTGATTCTTCCATGTTGTCCAAATGGGCAAATCAGATTCATTTCCTTCATGCATTTTTGTCTGATGGGCTTGCTTTTTGTTTCAAAGGTCTGGCTTTTCTTATAAATTAACCAGCCCAGGTTAGTCTTAGCTAAACTGTATTTCAGCTTGTTGACACTGTTACTTTCTTAAAGGTTATTAGGAATAAAGGTAATCTTAAAAATGCGAGGAAATAAACCTGTATCTTTCTACCAGTAGGTTTCAGCTGTGAAATGTGAAAGTGTGTTATTTATTTGTTTGAAGATATTTTGCTTAATCTTATCTGTGATACACACAACAGTGATGTTTTATTTATGAATTTAAAATCACTCTTTATTCCAAAATTCTTTTTTTACAAGAACTTGTACTACAGAATAATAAAAAAGCAGCTTCTACAAAATGAATCTGCTTGGGTTTGTTTGTTTGTTTTAGTTTAGTAATTATTTTTTATTTAAAAATGAAATCCAGGGCTCAATATTTTTGGGTGGAAAATTTCAAAACAACTGAAGTGCTATTGAGAGCAGGCTCTAGCATAGTTTTAATTCTGTTTTGGAAATGCTAGTATTTCTGTGTCTAAAATGGATTCTTCAGCCTTTTTCATCTATGCTTCAGCTAGGATCTCTACACTGGGAGGCAGTGTAACACAACTTGTTTGGTAGGTCCTGAGATTTGGATGTTCTATAAATTGTCTTTTGGCATTCGTTCTGAAATGCTTATTTCCTTGCCAGACTTGTGGATGAATTTCTGTTTCCAGAGAAGGATTAAATGCATTGCCAATAGTTAAAACGTGTTGGACAAACTCAGCAAATGGTGATGTGGCTCAAGACTTGGTTTAATTTAGCAAGAGAAGCATTTTTAACGAAATTCTGAAGAGCCCTCAGCAATTAACTCTTTCATTCTGTTCAAGATAAATTGTTTGGATGTCTCTCATAAAGGTCTCTGACACGTATTTAGGATCACGCTATAAATGATAGTGATGGGTGGTCATGCCATGATGATCTCTGTTATGTATACAGCTCAGCTATGTGCACAGTTATTTATATGGTTGTTAGGGTTTTGGGATTGGAAGTGATAGTATGGATAGAAACATTTGTTTGCTAGTTGCACAGTTATTGTGTGACAAACATCGAGATGTGATAAGGAAATTATAATGTTTTTATCAAGCTCATTTTTAGAGCTATTAAAGTCAGTATAGGAAGAATACTGCTGTGAGGAAGGCCAGTGCCTCAGTTGCACAGTTATTGTAGAAGCTTCATATACCAGTTCATTTATTTATATATTTTAAATAGACCTTTTTTAATAGGTTAAATCCAATTTCTGCATAGCCAAAGTAGGCTATAGGAAGCAGAATGTAACTTTTTTCAGGAATCAAAACCTTACTTTTGTAAAGCATTGTTTACATTCTGGAGGCTCCTACTTCTTCTCCTCCCTAATTCCTGTAATCTCTTCTTGGTTTAAATTGATAATGCTTCATTAGATGATTCAAATTGTTTTGAGAAATAGAGGTCTTACAGAAATTAAGTCATTAAATTAATGGAAGAGGCTACTTACAAAGAAAAGGATGTTGATATAAAACCATCTGTAAACTTTGTGTACTTCACAATAGATGTGACAGTTTCCAGTTTATGTATGAAATAGATTTAAATTTAAAAGATTCTCCATCTGCAGTATTACTCTAATGCTGTTTAGCATTCTTTTTATTTACATCCATCTAAATTCAAACACACAAATCCAAATATAAATATTCTTTCATTACAGTTTTGTTTAAATGTGGTTTCTAGGATACAGAAAAACTTGTTTTAGGAAAAGCTGGTACACAGCTAATATTTAAAACAGTGGGTTATAATGAGTTATTTGATGCAAAGTGATGCTGGGTACTGGCATGCAGATGAGAAAGTTGTTGCAACTACACTTGTCAGAATTTGTGCCTATTTACTGCAGTGTAGCTGTAGTAAAAGGTCATTCTGAATCTTTTCTTGATCTTCACACAGATACTATATTCTTTGTGCTGATTTTTTCAGCTCTTTGGTAAGTTTTCATGGAAAAGTAGAAGCTCCAGCACACTGCCAAAAAGATTTTTACCTTAAGCATTTTTGATTTCCTGCATATGTTTGCATGTGTCTAAAATTTCTGATATTTTCGGTTGTTTGTTACTCTAGAGAAAAGTAGGGAAGAGTTCTATTATACTTGGCCAGGCTTTTTAAGAAGTATTTAATGAAGAAATAAACCGTATTTTTCATGTTCCTGCCTTTTCTGACTAAAATTTAGTGTAAATTCTTGGACCACCCACAGACTAGGATATTAAATGTGTTCTTTAGGTGCAGCATGGTAACAGCCTGTTGCTGTAGTTTGAAACAATCTCTGCCCTTCAGGTTTATGCAATTCTTATATTCTCTCTACTAACATTGCTCCTTTGGGTACAGCATAAATTTTCATTATATTTGCAAGGTTGCGTGTGCTTGGATTTTTTTTATTTTTTTCTAAGAGACAGCCTTTCAAAAATAAAAGGTTAAAACTATTTGAGATGCAGGTGCTAGGAATGCATAGGAGTTTGGGGTTTTCTCTTTTTTTAATGATATCTGCAGGAATCTTGTTTAGCTGTTAGGCGTGAGACCAGTATTTTCAAAATTAGACTCCTAACTGTTTGATGTGGGAAGACTAAAAGATACGCTTTCGGCTGTCATGGATTTGAGAGGATGAAAAAATGTGAGTTTGGCCAATTCCAAGATGATTGGCCTTTGCAGTATGCAGGGACTGCCTCTGACAGAGAAATAATGAAATAACGAACAATAACTATTCAGAAGGATTGCTACTTCCTGAGCAAGGTTATTAAGCAAGACAGGGTAGCTCACTGGAAATAGACTGCAGGGAACCTCTGGCACTGATGTGGAGGGACTTAAAACATTCTCATTCTGCCTGTGGATGCGCTTTAGCAACCACTTGCATGTGCTGACCTGCCGTTAGAGCAGCAGTAAAGTGACCTTTGGAGAAAAACTTGGACAGAAAACATGGTTAAATCTTGCTGTTGATGTTTGAAAGCCTCTTCTCTTAGCATCAGGGAAAGCAGAGGATGGTTGATAGAATAATATGCACATACTAAAGGTCTGTTAATAAAACATCACATAGGATTTTCTTCTGTGACTATGGGATAGGGAATGTTTTTTTACTGAAGTAAAGCAAAACTTCAAAGCTGGATTAGTAGAGACACAGAAGTTAGTATGACGTGGAGACGAGAATATTGTTAAGGATCTGATATTAAAATTTCTTAGTGCTCTAAATAAGGCTTACACGTGGCTGGATCTGTTGCTTCTTCATGGATAGAAATAAATGTCTTGCTTCTTTTCTTTTTCTAGGCCTGGGTTTGCAAGGCACTGACACTCATTCAAAGACTGCATTATATGTTTAAGTGCTGAACAGTAGTGAAAAGCAAAATGGCATACAGTGAAAGCTTCATTTGCCTATGACCAAGTTATTCCTATTGCAGTATCAAGTTCATTTATTTTTGCTGTATTGCTCATGTAACTGTCAAAGGCAGGATGGAGATGATTTATGTACCTTACGTAACTTAGTGAAAGGAACTTCCATATGCAGAATAGACCAAGAATTGGTAGAAAAAAAGAGTGTCATGCTGTGAATCCAGGTAGTTGATACATCTCCTGAATTTTTTTTTTCCTTTTTATCCAGTATACCCAGAAGTTAATCACTTTTTGTCCTTTTCTTCAGTGGCCATGTCCTTGTCATATTCCAGAATTACTTCCTAGCAATTACTGAATTCATTTCAGCCATTAGGGTAGATTATGGTAGGTTTTCTTCTGGGACCTTGGCCACTCTATATTGTGCTTTCCAGACCTGGGAGTGATATCTCCTCCTCAAAGGCGTACTTTATTTGGGAAAAAATTCTTCGCCAGGTCTCTGTAAGGATTGCCTTCAATTTGGGTAGCAGCCAATGTCATAGGAGCCATATGTTTTTTTAATTTGTTCACGCTTGGAAGATTGGAGAGATGGTAGTAAAGGACTGAAAAGGAGTGCAAGAGTTACCTTTGGAGTATTTTATCAAATCTTAATGTTCTCTTGTCTGTTAAGGAATTATAAATGTGACAGCACACATCTGATGGAGGTGTCATGGCCTTTAGAAATGGGAGTGAAAATTTATGAGGATATGGAATTTTACTAGTTACTAGTAGCAGAGTTAAAGGACTGGGGAGAGGAGACAGTGGGAATCCACAAATAGCTGAATAAATTGTTAAATTGTATTAACTAGTTTTGGACTGCGGTTGGGGTTGCAGTGAGAGCTGTGAGTAGGTTCCTTGGCCAGTATGAAATTCCACTGAAATCACTTTTGCACCTCTCATGTAAAATTAAACTCTTGTTATTTTAGAAGTCTAAAATAATCATAATCATGCATAAAGCATTAATAGGAATTGAAAGTGTGTTACTGACACACAGAAAGTTTTTTTTTTTTCCCACTAGAGAAACAGCATGATGTTCTACTTTCAAGGAGCATTGAATCAGGCTTTGGCTTTTGCTTGAGCTCAGTAGCAGAGTTTTTCTTGCAATTCCTTGGCCTTCTCTGTAGGTTTTGCTTACTCTTAGTAATGCGCAATGATGTTTAGATGATAGGAGAGCACTTTCGTAGCTGGCCTTTAAATAGTGCTTGCTGATAGTGCCTTTTATGTTAGACTAGCTTACTAGATTGTCAAAACCTATGAATGGCAAAATGAAAACTTTTGAGACCAAACTCTGAATATTTGCTAGCTTGAGAAACTGAGTTGAAATGCTTGCAGGCTTAAGAAACAAATCCAGGATAGACCATCCTGAACTGTGTTGCTTTTCTGGGGCTTCATCTGTCGTGGTTGTACAAATTCTGTTCAATGCTGATACTTGAAAGTGGGAGCAGTCATCTGGGGCTAATAACAAGGGAACAGCTCATAATTGCATACAGTGTGTTCTTGATGCAGTGGCTTGGTGAGCCACCTTTGCTTAAGGTACAATACATTAGTTTCATAGAAACATCAAACACAAGTTACAGTGTTGAAATAGATACAGAGACTACCTGGTGACTTTGTTGCAGTGTAATATTTTCATCAATAATGTATTTATAAACATGCCTCATGGGGTTGCTATAACCTTACCAATATTTTGGCAAGTCTAATGATCATATTTAATCATCCATGATACGAAATACAACTCTCGGCTTTCTAAGCTGACATTTTTATATGATGCTGTTGAGAGAAAGGGTAAATCTAGAGCATCTTCAAAATGTGGTTCCAGGCTTCTTCAATATGGAAGGAGTTGACTGAGGGGAGGCTCAGAGTCTAGTAGAATGGGCAAAAGGAGAATACTTCTTATCTTTTACCTGTTGTTTCTGGCCTTTCTCATATATTTTTGTTACCATTCTCTCTTTTCTCAGATTGTTAAACTGACTATTTACAGAATGCTTCCAAAAAACCTTCTAAGGCGAACGATGATGCAGAGGTTGCACCTGTTCCCAGATGATGTGAGTCAGTGGTTACACCCAGTTATGTTTTTGCTTCCTTTTCCCACTTGCTTTGGAGGTGAAGAGAGGGGTGTTACCAGTAGCATGTTTTACTTGTCATAAGAAGATAGATGAATTTTTAAAAAATCAGACTGTGTTTTGTGTATATAAGCAGATTATATGTTCCTTATTTTTTCACAAAATTGCGACGTTCATGAGAATTAGCCTTTTGTACTTAGGTTGGACAGTTACCATGCATCAGTGCCAATAAAATCATAGAATCATAGAATCGTTAAGGTTGGAAGGCACCTCGAGAGATCATCTAGTCCAACCCCCCTGCTCCAGCAGGGACACCCAGAGCACGTGGCACAGGGTGGCATCCAGATGGGTTTGGAAGATCTCCAGAGAAGGAGACTCCACAACCTCTCTGGGCAGCCTGTTCCAGGGCTCTGTCACCCTCACTGTTAATTTTTTTTTCCTCAATTTCCTGTGGAACTTCTGGTGTTTCAGTTTGTGGCCATTGCCCTAGTTCTGTTGGTGGCCACCACTGAGAAAAGGCCAGCCCCATCCTCTGCGCTCCCTCCCTTAAATTAGTAAACAAAAGGCAGTGTTAGTTGTAACAGAAGATTCATGTCTACTAAAAGCCATAGAATGAGGAGTTCAGTGTCTGGTGTTTGAAACTGCAGTAATAAAAATCTTTTGACTGTTGCAGTTTTCACAAGCCCGGAAATACAAGCTTTTCTGAAAGACCAAAAAAAAAAAAAAAAAGCAAATTCTGAAGCATAAGGCCTTTATACGGGTGGGTATTTGAGGGCCATCTTCCCTAAAAAAGAGATTTATAAGGCTTCCAACTACCGTACTATCATTTTGGACATTCTGGGGTGGAGGCAGCATAAAGAAATCTTAAAATTGACATTTTGTGACAAGTGAATTGGGACAAAAACAGTTTTGTTTTTAGTGCAGGGGAACAGAAAATTGTGTTCATGTCCTTCAAGATGCACTGTGATTTCCTGTGGGGAGCTGAAGGAGCTTTCCACCCTGTTTTATGAGGTATTTTAGCTCAGGCAGTGAACTGCATCTTTATTATGAACATGCTAATTGCTTTTTTTTGAGAATTTAGAAACTGGTTATATTTTGATTCTTGTTTCTCTTCCTCCCCAAATGAAAAAGGCAGCTGTAGTTCTAGGAAAATAATGTATAATTACATTTTTATTCTTTTTAGTGCCCTTTAATAGATTAATGCTTGTTCTGAGATTCTTAGCACAAAACAAAAACTGTTTCCTTCTGATCTTTGAAAAAAAGGTTAAAATAAAAAAAAAGGATTTCAATTATGTATATTTTATTTAACAAAAAATACATAATTGATTGGTAAGGTAGGGTTTATTTTTATAAGCTGGATAAGGTAATTCTTTGTAATCCTATCATTTTTCCTGTTTTTTTTTTTTTTAAGAACCTATTTGATTTTTTTTTGCTACATTTGTGGGCCACTACACAATGCAATAAGTTCTTGTGGCCAATCATCTATTAGCCTTTTATTTTTAGAAGCAGACTTACTATTTTCAAAGTAGAGATGGCTGTGAGGCAGCACCTAAAGCAGATGGCCTGGGTCTCTTTTCTCTTAAGCCTCTCTGCTTCCACCATATCAGTGCTACTGTGTGGTCCTGAATTACTTGGCAACACATTTGGTGTTTATGTCCAGGCTTGATCTCCAGTGAGTGTGTAACAGGATTTCTTAACTGTCTCCTAAAAAAGAAGTATTCAATATAAGACCTTCAATGTCATATTTTTTTCCTCCCTTTTTCTGGTTCAAAATATGCTATCAGTTTGAATTTGCTTCTGCTTTTCTGGCTGTTAGCTTTTTTCCATTAATGCCCATCTGCTCCTCCATTCTGAGAATCATGAATCATACATTTTGATACATTAAGTCGTGGGGAAGGATTGAAGAAAGCTTTTTAAAAATATCTTACAGGTGTTTATTTTGAGGACCTACTATATTATGTGGCTTCAAATGCCACATAATCATTTAATATGGAATTGGAAGTAGTGACTGATCTTATGTGGAAAATGTGGCATGTATATTAATTGATACTTATTTGGTGTTTTTTCGTTAGTGTCCTTTTGCTGTGCAAGTGATTTTAAACAATCAGATAGCTGAGACTGTGTTTCCCCCACCATAGGTTATCCCAGAAGATATCGAGAAAAATCTTTTGGAAGAGCTTCCTCAACCACGTGCAATCCCTAAGAGGTTAGATGAATATACGCCAGAAGAAATTGCTGCCTTTCCAATGGTTTGGACTCCGTAAGTATCTTATATTTTAAAAGAGGAAACTTGACTGAATACATGATGTATTGGCCTCTAACATTATGAATAAGAAAAAAAAAGAAGTGATATTTTCAACTTTATCAGTGTAGTGGAGTAAATACTGAGTCACTCTCTTTGAGCTATGGATATGTTCTCTGTGTAGCTAATTGTTAATGATAGACAAAGAAGCTCCACATGGTTTTGCGAGGGAATGATTCATATAAAAAGTCATCTTTCAGTTTTCTAAGGAAGAGGTCTGCAGTTCAGACCTTGGAGAATGGCTCTTCGTCAGGGAACACACCACATGTTTATTTTGATAGGTACTTTATTTTCAATATGCAAATGTGATTTGCTATTTTAGAAAGTTGTTAATGCCTTCTAATTCACCAGCATTCTGTCTTCAGCTAGATTTCTGGTATTTCTATTGCTGCAGTAGTTTTTAAAAGGTGATTGAATTTCTGCTTTTCTCTGTCATACAAAAAAAAAAAGTGGCCCTGCATACTCGTTTGCACAGTAATCCTAGAGCATGGTCCTGGGGTGACCCTCAAGTGGTATCTCAACCTTTTGAGCAGTCCCATTGAACCAGACATTAGGGGCTTGTGGGTAGAGGTCAGTGGCTGAAATGGTAGTGCCTTATCTCCTGAGTCTGCTTCAGATACAATCTCTCGGGTGTCTTGATAGCTGAATGATCTCTTGATTCATTAAGATCCATGGGACTTAAAAGTAGAACCCTGCAGAATTGAAAACTTTGTATTTTAGTACAAGTATCTAATAGGTTTAGTGTAGATTTTCATGTCCGGCCCATTCTAGAACGATACTGGGAGAGGGATCTGCAACAATCACAAGGTTTAGATTTCTAGCTAGGAAAGACTAGATAGTAGCAAGCTTTATACAGTAGAAATTCAACAATGAGTAACTGTTTTCAAACAAAGGAAGACTTTTAAGAAAAGAGGGATTGATGGTTTAAGTAGGAATGTAAAGTTTATATCTGAAATGGTCTGAGAGAGGGAAAGGCAAAATAGGGAAAGCAAATGATGCTGGTGCGGTACTGTTAGAGTACCTTAAAATGTTTTTTTTTTCCCTAACTTTTAAAATAAATAACTTTTTTTTTCTTCTTTTTAAGTGAGTAAAACATTTTAAAATACACTGTGTATTTTCTGTATTATAAAGCACATGCAAATAGTGCTTTACCCTTCACGGACTGCAGAGATCAGTTGACAAGAGATGGAACTTTTCCAAAGCAAAAGCTGTAATAGGATAACATAAATGGACAGTCGAGAGAGATTTACTTGTAATTCAAAAGACAGGTGCACACACAGATCCTTTTATTTGCCAACAGCTCTCACTACCTAAGCCAGACAAATACCATTAAGAAATCCCAATAATAAATATTGGGGATGTCTGTATTCTTTATCCTGTAGGATTTATATTTCTTTTTGGGGGAAAATGGAGCAACATTCCACTGCTTCTGTCACATGTTTAACAGAAACACAATAAATTTTTAGTGAAATCTCTTAATGCTAGTAGGCTTTTGCTTGCAAAACCTAATAGCAGGAGAAAGTTAGAATAGAAAATATCATAGACTTAAGTAAAGAGTCCAAGTAGAACTGTATTTGTATACATAAAATCCGTATTTATGCTTGCACATCTTCACATACAGCATTCATACAGAATTGCAGTGCTGCTGCGTGTTAAAGACGGAGTATGAAACCTTTCGTTTATGCAGTATTTTTCCTCCGTTTTCAGTAATGAAACTTAGTGAAGCCCATGATATCATGAGGACATTTTGTGGCTATCAAAGATGCACTCCATTTTACTATTTTCTTTTTGGATAGTTTCCTTGTCTGGCAGTCGCCGAATAAAAGTTTAGATTAATTCAGAAAATGGGAAGTATAGGTCCATAAATGACTATTGAATATAATTCTCCAAATGTGACTGTTGGCTCAGGAAATCCGATTTATTGTATCTTTTTTTCCGTGTACATCTAAGTTTTGATCTGGCAACCGTCAGTGATCTGTGCAGATGACTTGCACTCTCTGGCCTATTTTCAGTGTGTAGAATTTAATGTGTTTTTGCTAAAGAAAGTTTAAGCATCTAGTGGCTGTTGTATGGAGGACACTAACAAGGGATGTGGAAAAGAAAGGAACGGATCTGCTGCAGCAGGTTTGGGTGCTTTCAACTGAGGAGACAATAGTGCTGTGCTGTGGTTCTTTATATATGATAAAGCAAGTAAACATGGTTAAACAGAGGAAAATGCTAACCGTGTTTAAAAGCCCCAAAGCATGGATTCTTAGTAGGGTTAGGTTTGTTTGTTTTTTTCCTGTGTTACTGTGTACTCAAGCCTTAATGGTCTATGTGGGAACATATGGTACTGAAATGAGGACCCTTCTCTTGTCTCTGCATGTGGGCTGTATTTGGGGTGTCAAAGGGCTGCACTTTACTGTTGTTTGCATTTTGGACTGTGAATATCTGTGGGGCCCATAGGCAGTTTCCAAGCAGAGTAGTCCCTACAATAAAACGAAAATGAAGGATACAGATTATCAATTCACTTCATGTGGTTTTAATAAGTCCCTCTGACATCCACGATTTTTGTCTCTCCATTAAGTCTTGAGCCTTTTGGCTACTCTGCTTGACAAAGGGGAGAGGCTCAAGAGGGAATTAAATTCCTGTGAGAGTGATAAATATAAGGAGCCAATTTGGGAAAGAAACTCAGGAGCACATGGCTTTTTTTTCTAACAGAAGAAGATTAATTAATATTAGGCCTTTAAAAAGAGCTATATCTTTTCATGGAAAGTATCAAATGAAAAGCATAGCTTGATTAACAGTATGAAAAGACTTAAAATGCAGGGAAATGCAATTGCTATGATAAAAGTAAGGTTTTATGTTAAAGCTTATGCCTAAGAGACTTACTCACAGTAGAAGAAATATGAAGTAGTTGAGTGAATATAAAAGTCACTGAAAGACAGATATAAGGGCATGAGTATAGATTGTAATACAGTGCATGGAAAAAAGCTACTATTTGAGGAGAAAATCAGCCTTTTTATCTTAATATGAAGTAACATGCAACTAACTTCCTTCTGAAAGTACAGGTAATGTGTGGAGCATTGCTGGTGAGCTCATGGGGCTTTCACCTACACTTGCTGTTGAAGTTACTCTACCTTTCAAAGGCTGTTTTGCTGGTAATAGCAGACTGACACACTATAAGCAAATATCAGTATCAAAGCTGACCACTAAAATGGAGAGCACTTCTTTTTTTAATAAAAACAGAGATCCCATGTGAAAACCTAGCAAATAGCTTGTGTTTTTTGGAACCACCAACCACGTCTAGCTGGATCCTGCTCCGTGAAAACAGAGAATTCAGTGTCAGGATATTTCCCGTGGGAGATGTTTCCTTTTCCCGCTAACCTGAACCAGTTGACTCCCCAGACTGTGCAAAGCTTCTGTATCCACGATGGTGCAGTCCGAAACATCTGCGGTGGGGAAATAGGCAGGTTCAGGGAAGTTAAGTTACGTTGCATCTGTCCAGAGGGGAATCAAAAACTTGCTCCTTTGACTGAGTTTGATTTGTGGCTTCTCACTGTGAATGAATCTGTCATTTTAAGTTTGTCAAGGTTTCAAACATTGTTTTTAATGAGCGCTTTAAACAGAAACCATCATTGAATTCTCCAGACAGATACGACTAAAAGGATGATCATGTTTTGTACCTGTCTTCTAAAAGCAGGGGTGCATCAGATTTGCATCAGTGCAAAATTGCCCATTAGATGTGATCTGCAAGTTGTCCCTCTGGCTGTTTTAACAGCGAGCTTTTAAAGTCAGGAAATTATTCTTGAAGGTGTAGTTTAAAATTACCCAAATCAGCATGTTACCAAATATATAGAAAGACAACCCTGTGTTGTTCCAGTTAGATGGCTGCTTTCCTGCGAGTTTCCCATAAGGAAATAAAGCAAGAGTGTGATTTCTCGGAGCGCCCCGAGCCCGTTGCTCGTGCGAAGCTGGAGCTCCTGTCCTGCTGCCAGGCCAGGCAGGACTCACCGTGGCCTCCACGGAGGGCAGACGCTCTCCTGCTTGTCTGCCCAGGCTAAAGAGAAGTCGTTAAATGCTTTATTTTTAAAACATTATGTATAGTAAAATCTGAAAATTGATGTAAAAAAAAAAAAAAAAACTTTTTTTCTCTTTTTTTTTCCTTGAGCAATTTCCTGGCTTTTTCATCTTGCTTTGAGGCAGGGGGTCTGGTCTGAAGACAGAATTTTGTTTCAGCTGAGCAGAGTCCCAGTTATGGCGAGCAGAGACTCAACTGTGATACTGACTGTCGCCCATATGCTGAGCAACAGGGCAATTCAGTGCCCTGTTCTGGGCAGTTTTATTTTACAGAGTTCATGATCTGCTAATTTCCTCTGATAAAATTACAGGAAGCCAACACAGAAGGACCCATACAGATAACACAAAGTCCATTCCACAGTGAGAGTATGAGGTATAATAAAGGCAAAATCATGCGGACTGTTACTCTCCATCTAGTTGAAGAATCTCAGAAAGCAACTGAAAAGATCTCAGCCAGAGTTGGTGGGGTCCTGATCTACTTCTTAAGGACCATCTCAAGTTTGTTTATGAGTGAAAAATCTGTGCTGCACCAAGCACACTCCTGCATTCATTTCCTTAGCTCCTTTGTAGCTGCATGGTATGTCATTTTTGGGAAGGTTTTTTTTTGAGCTCTGTGTGTAGAGCACCTCACACAGTAGGGTTTTGGCTTTCCACTTGGGCCTGGAGGTGTTTCTGTAATAGAAATAAATACTACATCTCTAGCTTGTGTGCTCCTCTCCTCCCGCAAAGCAGGGTTGGTATGTGCCAATATGCAGAGAAGAGATGGCCAACACAAACTTGGTTTGAAATGCTTGGGCCAGTCTTACTTTTCCCTAAAAACAGAAACTAGAGAGACAGAAAAAAAGCTGTGCTGCCAATATAACACAGTCCTGTTCCAACATACTCTTTGAGGAATCTCT